AGATTCCCGCTACAACTATTGCATCAGAGTACTATACTGGCCAAACATCAGGCGCCGCTCGATCCACGGCCGAACCCACCAACGTCGGGGGTTTCGCCGGTTCCTGCGCTGCTCCCGGGCCCGGATCAACGCCAACAGCACTATATTATGCTCGTGCTGGAGTTCCTCCAGACGCCCCCTCAACAGGGCTACGCGTAGTCGCTCAGGTGGAATAGCCATCCTCTTTCAGCGCCGACAGGTAGTTTTTAATTCCAAGCGTTCATTCGCCCGAGCTATATACCCCTCAAAAACGAAAATATGTTGCAAGACTAACGCAAGACTAACGCACGACAGACTTGCAATGTTGTGCGAGACTCTTACGAAATATAATATATAATAAATATCTTGCAACTGTCTCACGACTGTCCTGCGACAGCCGTGAGACAGTTGTAAGACAGTCGTGCGATAGTCGTAAGATTGTTTGACTAAAAAAAAATTCTTCTGGTACTCACGACAAGATATTTATCGCACGACAGTCGCAAGACTGTCGTAAGACTGTTGTAGGACAGACTCACGACAACCAGAAGACATAGATACCACAAAAAATCGTGCAACGAAAATGGTGCATGTTCAATTTTGCCTCACGACGGCAAGTCGATGCCACGATGCTCAAAATTTCGTAGGACTGTCTTGCGACGACCGCCGATGACCCACGATTTGCCCAAATGTTCTGTCGTGTCATTGCACAAATGCGTCGTGGGCTCGTTGTGACCGGGGCTTTAGGGTTAGGGTCACAATGCACCATAAAACAGGAGTTTCAGGCACGCGATTTGTATCAACCACTGGGATTTGGGAGGTATGCAGAATGCAGAAGGTTGCTGAAATGATGTGCATGTACACAACTGCATATCTGCGCCTAACAAAGGTGTCACTACGCACGACTTAAATGTTACGTTTATAACCGTAGCAACAGACCTCAGATGAACCCAGATGCTCTGCGGCTCTTGTTTTAATTATGAAACTCAATGAAATTATGAGTAGAGCCATACACAATGCAATAGGCACAGCACTAGTTTAATTTGACTAAACCATTATTCAAATGACTTATGCAGGTAACTTGCAATTCACACATAGCATGTAAACATTCGTATATATGGTAATTATAAGTTGCAAGTTGTTCTGCAAATTAGCGATTTCATGTTCTGTGGTCCATATGAACCAAGCTCATGAACAGCCATGCCTTGGTCCTAGGAATTGATAAGACACTCTAACTAATTGGGATTAAGACTTTTGCCAACATAACAATCATGTCATTTGACCTCATTTTTAATGCTGTATATTTTCATTATTTAAACAAATAATTTTGGCATGAACTGCCTAGCCCCTAATTATACTACTAACATTGTGCTGACTGTGTTATAGCTTTATCTGTAAGGCTATACCATTTTAAATTTCTCAACTTCATGTTTCTTTTCTCAAATTGTTTTATCAATTCCAAGTGAGATGATTAAACTGAAACTGTAAAGTTTTCCCAAGCACAAATGTCGTATGTAACAAGCTCAAGGCAGCACATGCTACATAGTATATGTATGATACATTAGCAGGGTGCGAAATTAATGCGAGTCTGGAATCAAATACTCCTTGATTTTCTGTCAGACTCCCTGATTTGACATATGCAGTAGTCCGTGTGACTCCCTGAACATTCTGCTATACTAATAGTAACTAGTTCGTTCCAGAGCACGGCCTCGCGGAATTGCCGTATTTTTCCAACAAATGTCCAAAGACAATTTGGCAGACGTACAACCGCATGAATCTTCAAAATAAGCACACATTATTGTTAATATCTTTACTTTTGAACTTCAGACTGTGGACTCCCTCTTTTTGAGGGCAGGGAGTCTGTTGGACTCCCTTATTCAAAAGTTAATTTCTACCCCTGCATTAGCATCATTGTGGGAGCAAAGTGAATCAGATCACCTTCAATGTAGCTATGAACAGTCATGTTCACACACGTCTGCATTTTTAACCCTAGACTAATAAATGATTGGTGGGTGTTTCTTGCCGATCTAAAGAATAAAACGTTTGATTGAAGGTGTTGCAGGACTCCCCCCCCCCCTTGGGCGTTACCTGCAGACCTAATCGTTGACAAAAGATGTCAGCTTGGTATAATGCTCAAAGGGTTAACTAGTGAACGAGAACACAGTTTACTAATCATACAGCTAGTTCGCTTAGGATTTGATTAGTTCCATCTTTTAGAATTAATTATTATTGTAAGGACATGATCAGTCTGAAGCATCAATGTATAACTATTGATTTCAGGAACATAGAGAAGTGGGTAGGGTGCAAATTGAAGATCGAAGCAAGTGACGGGCAGTTCACTGGCACTTGCCATAGTGTCAATCTTTTGGATATGTGTCTAACCCTTTCTGATGTCACGACAGAAACTGGAAAGGTATGTTAAAACCATTATATGTTTACGTGTTTATGTTGTTTTATGAGAAGCTAGACATGTAGTAAGTGTTGATGGTATTACTTTAGCTTAGAAGTCATGTTAGACATCAGTAACAAATGTAATATAGTAATTAAATTCACACGTGTTATCATAAATCTAGATCTGTACTGCATGTAGTAGCTTCCTGGTTTTATAGACTTGTATTTTCAATGAGATAAGATTTTTGTATACACAAGCACTTCTTTAGAACATATAATATGAACATGCATAAAGTAACTGTAATAAACAGTTTAGTGACCTTTGGGATGGCTATGTGGACTACGCTTGTATCAGGAGTCTATCAATAGATATGATAGAATTGATAGACTCCTGCTTGTATGTAGTGCAAAGACAATATATAGTAGTAATACTGTATTGGTATTTATGCTTTTGATGTCATACAGGGCTGAGCGTTAACAGTTGTTTATGTTTCCCCACACAGCCAGTTCATGGACTGCGCAATTTTTACCAGCATGAAATACAGAACATTGAAATGGTTAGTGCTGGTACTGTGAAATCCCATCTTGGAGACAATGTGACTGGCAGGCAGAAATCAGTAATGATAAAACACACGCAGCCAAGACACCTGAAGAATTTAGTTGATGTCTCCCAAAATCAGGTTAGAGGCAGTGCATATGGATTGGCAAAATCCAAGGTAAGCATTAAAATGAAAACGTGTATTAGTTATGTTACAGACTACGTATTTATGATATAATCTTTTTTACAGTATAGTAGCCAGTCTGGGTTTAGTAGCGAATAATGCGTGCTTCTCAGTTTTAAGTATCTGCTGCTGCAACTCAGCATAAATTAAGTAATGACTGTACCAAAATGGAAATATTCATACTAGAGAAAGTGGTCTTATTCTGAGACCCTAGAAATAAAATTGTTCCACCACACTCTTGCAATGCACATGCAATGTTTTGAATTGTTTGCAATAGAAAACCAATTTCACAGCTGTAGCTTTTGCAGCTGTGTATATGACGAGTTCAGGCGCAAAAACAGATAAAGCCATTTTTTCGTTTTTTTGTAAATCAAGTATTTCTGTGGAGCTTTTCATGAAATAATCATCCTACTGATGTAGGTTGCAATCACATCTTTATGAGCAATCAAAACGAAGGTCACAATTGAAAAAATGTGAATTTATTAGAAAAACGGAATTTTGATAACTTTGAACAAATTTGTCAGCAAAAACAGATAAATCCAAATGGCTATATCCTTGATAAAGACAAATCCTATGGTGCCAGCTAGGCCCAAAATACTGATTAATTGCAGAATGGCAGGATCCTGAACTTTCTGCCTCCTACGCTGAACTTTTTTGATATCCATGTAGGATAACAGTATGGCATCTTGTTTCACCTTATCAGTTGTCGAATACAGGAGATTAAACAAACGAGTCAGTTCGTTTTCCGAGACAGTAGTGGCCACACACATACCCTGTACATTATGTACACAAGCAATAGATGGGACTTTTCCGAGCGCACTGTCTACCTTTCTTGCTCACAGACCGCACTGATTCGTAAGGACAGTGACTCTTTTTGTGCCCAGTAGGTGAGAGCACAACAGGCTCACTAATATCAAAATTATTCATTATGCACGCTTAAAGTCAACGATTTGTGCTCTAAAATCGGCCTCAACGCAATGTCAAGCGAGCGAAGGCGCTGCCATGTTGGATGACGTAAGCTAAATCTGATGCGCTGATTGGTCAGATGGAGTTATCGGCTGTTGCTAAAAAAAGAGCATGGGGCATGTCGGCTTGCAGTAAAACGTTATATTCAACTGTGAAATGCGAAGGATATAGCGGTATTTGCAAAGAAATGGATTTTACCTTCAGATGGAGAATGGTGTAAGCTATTTTGTGGTACACTTAAGTCAATATTTTCGGCAATGGCGTTTATCGGTTTTTGCGCCTGAACTCTTCATATGTTTTAGAAAAATGTTGTGATCTGAAAGGGTGATCCAATGTCACACCATTGGTGACTAGATACCATAAAACACTTGCCCGAATATGTATTGTAGAAATGGCTTAGATGAACACTACAATAGCTTGCGGTAATAGCAATAGTTCTTACACATCTTGGGTGGACATAGTTTATATAGTAATAATAATCAGAGGTGCGCGGTATTACCGGTATACCGGTATACCGGTATACCGGTATACCGGTATACCGCGGTACGTGACCTGTGCCGGTACGTACCGCGGTACTTTTTGTGGTGTAGTGGTGTACCGGATTTTTTTAGCTATTTTTATGTATCAATTTTATTAGCTTATCTGACACAGTCAGATGCAGCTTGTAGAATCGCATGATCGTGCGTCCGTCCGTCAACAATTGGGCACAAATCTTAACCGCTCGACGTACGGTCACGATATTCGGGACGTCGGGGGGGGGGGGGGTCGTAAAAAAGACTCGGGATGACAAATTTGGGGGTCAAGGGTCAAAGGTCAAGATGTGTAAACGGAGGGGGAATATTTCCCCCTTAACTCAAGGTATAGGAGGGAATATTGGAATTGCGGCACAAATCTTAACGGCTCAACCTATGCTCTTAATATTCGGTGTATAGTGTGATGGGCAGGAAACCCATCACCAGTGCGAAATTGGAGGTCACAGGTCAAAGGGCAGTGGGGGAAAGGTCAGATATCAGACATTTTCTGAGGACATGGCCTAATGGACAGAGTGGGAAACTTTTTTGTTTCAGCGCTGACCTACCATTTTTATCACTTTATTGAAAGGACCATGAAATCTGCTTTCCAATGACGTGTGTAGACTAAGTGTCTGATAACCTTTGGACCCTCAAGAGGAGGGTTAAACATGGATTCCGGAACTGCCTCAATGACATCACAGTGTTGTCATATTCATGGCACATCCATAATCTAGAAACACAATAAGCCCGGATAGCCGAACGCGATAGCCACCATCGAATCCCATCTGATTTTTTATTATTTACCTGTTTTCTGTATTTTTCTATCTTTATCCATTTAACTATTTTTTCCCAATTAATGCAAATATTTACATGATTTATTTACAATAATTTAATAACAACAAATCATTTAAAAAAAATAGGGTTAGGGTTAGCGCTAGGGTCACAATGCACCATAAAACAGGAGTTTCAGGCACGCGATTTACATCTACAAATGGGATTTGGGAGGTATGCAGAATGCAGAAGGTTGCTGAAATGATGTGTACGCAACTGCGTATCTGCATATCTGCACCTAACAAAGGTGTCACTACGCACAACTTAAATGTTACGTTTATAACCGTAGCAACAGACCTCAGATGAGCCCAGACGCTCTGCGGCTCTTGTTTCACTTCCTCGTCATTGCATAGCTTTATAAATTCATCTCCGTCGATCGACACCATTCACGCTATATTCGCGTATCTCCAGCACCTATTCTATATGCCTAGTAGATAGTCTGCGCTGTTTTATTTGTGCATACTTCATTACTTCAGACTGGTTCTAGCTGTACGACACTCCTACTCTCGCTCATGTTTGTTCCAAAGGAATTACAAGATATAGCAGATTACAAAATAACGCGACACGCCGACTGCCAGGCGTTTTTCTATGAGCGCGGCAGCGGTGCCTTTGATGGGAGAACGGGGCGCGATCGATCATGAGCGCGTTTCACTAAAGCCCGCCACAAGTCTTTGACCTTCGAGTTATATTCCTCTGACCTGTTCTTGAAATCCCGGTATACCGCGGTACAAAAAATTTCACGGTACCCAACTAATAATAATAGATGAGTGATAGTGTGTATGAGTCTTTGTGGACGTGGGGTAATATAGGCACGGAAATCACTTGTCACATACTTACACAGCACGTGCATCTCGGTCACAGTTAGCAATAGGCAGCCACTATGTTATGATTTCAACCAGGGAATAGCATTATCTTGTCATTACTTGTCATCTAGGCTGAGCTGAGGGTCTCCCACGACAGCGCACTGCCCACCGACAGTTCCGAGGAAGAGCAACGTGCACCCGCGGTCACACTGAAGTTCGGCCGGCCCGTGAAGATCCTCATCATCGATCAGGTCGATGACGAATTCTTACAATCGATCGAGCACATTCGCAAGCAGAGTGTGATCGGCCTCGCGATCGAGGGCAAGTCGTTGAGCCGCGTCGGCAAGCTGTGCTGGGTGCAGGTCGCGACGGGCCGCGCCGTCTACCTGTACGACATCGTCTCGCTCGGCCGCGAGGCGTTCGAGCGCGGGCTGCGCGACGTCCTCGAGAGCCCCACACCGAGCAAGGTGGTGCACGACTGCCGGGCGATGTCCGACGTGCTGCACCACGTGTACGCGACATCGCCGCGCAACGTGTTCGACACGCAGGTCGCCGCCGCGATCATCTACCGCGCCCGCCACGCCGGCGACCTCCCGCGTTACGTTGACAGCCTCCCCGACTGCCTGAAGCACCATCTGGGCCTCACCGACGAGCGGCTGAACTACGCACGCGTGCGGCAGCAGTATGCCGACCGCGACGAGGCGCAGTGGGAGCGGCGCCCCCTGGCGGTGGACGCGACGGACCGGCTCGTCAAGGACGTCGTCTACCTGCTCGACCTGCGCGCGGCGATGATGGAAGCGATGCTCGAGGACTTTATGTTTGGCGTCAACGTGTTTCTCGCGGATATGCGCGATGCGCCGGCGGACGACGTGGCGCGGCGCGTGCAACACGCACACCGCGTGCCCGACGCTCTCGCTGAGCTGAACGTGATCGCACGCCGTCGCCGCAGTGCTGGCCACCGGAGGGCGCCACCGACGCTCGACGGCTTTGCGGAGAACGTGAGCTGCATCAACGAGCCGGGCGTCTTCTTTAGTCGAGACATCTGGCACTGCCGCGCCGGCGACGGCGAATCCGCCGCCTCCGGTCAAGCGCAGGCCGCCGGTCGGCGCGATCCTGTCCACACTGACCCGTCAGATGCCAAGGTCGTCTTCCGGCCGGCCGGCATGCCTCCGCTGGAGGTGAACAGGGAGCAGGGTGGCGCGCAGAGGCAGGAAGCGCCGACTCCGCGACGGAGCCCCGGAGGTGTGTCGCGGGGTGCGCCGACTCCGCGACGGAGCCCCGGAGGTGTGTCGCGGGGTGCGCCGACTCCGCGACGGAGCCCCGGAGGTGTGTCGCGGGGTGCATCGTCGCCTAGAGCGCAGGCCTCCTCTCCTGGGCAAGCCAAGCTAACTCAAGATGCGTCCACGGGGGCATTGCCTGTGGCGCTGTCTTCCCCTCCTGGGCAAGCCAGGCTGGCCCCAGCCGCATCCCCGGGGGCGTTGCCAACGAGTGGTGCGGAAGCCGATCGGCAAGCGGGAGAAACCGAACAGGAGGCGGCCGTGTTGAAGGTGCTGAAAGCGCTTCGAGGCGAAGGCGACTAGATGAGCGGTCGTCTTCTACCGTCAAAGCAAACTGACCATCAAGTCAAGCTGACCGTCAAAGCAAAATCGTCAACCGTACGCATCTCGCTGTCCATTTACGTAGATGGTGCAATGTGATTCAGGGGCCCGTTGTCAGAAACATCGTAAAGTTAAAGCTAATGTTAATGCTGCGATATCACTTACGACTAATGCTACACAGAAATGCATCGCAGCTATGAGAAACTTTGGATAGCGGGAACTTAATAATTTTCTGTCACAAGGCTGCCGATTGGCTGAGAATTCATCACAAAACTCAAATGCTTACACATTTATTGTACATGACAGCAATTTATGCATATTATGATGGTGAACCAGGGTTCGTAGCGGGTCTTCCAGTCTTATAAGTACTTATTTTGCCAAAAATAAAATAAGGAGGCCCTTATTAGTACTTATTTTTTGGTGAAATCTTAGAAAGTACTAATAGTCCTTATTTTTTCTCGACTTAAGTAAGAATTGTATATATATACATACGGAATAATTAAATTGCGTGCAATTGTGTATATAAAATTGTTAGTGTACTTTAATAGTCGGTGATCTATCAGAAATGCGTAAAAACGTCTTATTTTTGGCCTCCAGAAAGGGTCTTATACGTCCTTATCTTCAACATGTGTCTTACTACTATCAACCCTGTGAACCACATGTAAGTAATATCTGATTAATAAAAGACACGTTCATGAATTTATTCTGCACAGCAACACAAGACGCAGGCATCATGACTTATCAAAATGTCAAAAACAAGAGAATATACGTCACTTATGTTTGTTTTGTTATATAATTGGTAGATAAGTAATGTTTCTGACGTGTTTACCATAAAAAACACGTTTTACTAATTAAAATTAATAAATTAATTTTTTTTAATATTAATTTTTTTTTTTTTTTATTATTATTTACGTTTTAAGTTTTAGGCGTTAATTGCCTAGGAGAGCCCGAAACGGGAATTACACAGAATAATATATATATATATATATATATATATATTAAACTGCGAGCGCTACGCCTTACGCATGAGACGTTACATTGGCACGCAAGGAAGCGTCCTTAGCAAAGAAGTCCCTGTTGATCGACGGCACAGCTCAGCTGAGACGGCCGGCAGAGAATCTTGTTGCTGCATTGCCATAAGCTTGCGGCTATACGCTAGCCATGGGGTGTGCGCTAGCTTGGGATAAACAGTGTATTAGCCTTTTAGCCGAAAGGCACTGGAGGGTGGTCACAGCCAGAGGTTTTTGTTGCGCCCTCAAATGGTTCTTTTACGTCCCCATTGCCTAGGAATTACGGAAGACGGGAGGCCGGCATTTTACGTGGTCATCACGAGCCAACAGATTCACAGTCTCCAATGTTGAGAGCCAGGTTTTTACACCTTGAGAAAATTCACTGCCCCGGCTGGGGTTTGAACTCAAGCCTACAGTGGACAGTGTACGAGGCCTAACCACTGGGCCACGGAGGCTCTCATTTAATATATGATGTCACTATAATTGCAATTATCTGTGTAATTGTATTATTTTCATGTTGGTCTTTAAGTTACGAGAGGGTCTAGGGTCTCGTAATGCTAAGAGGAAGTTTGCTAGGATTTTTAATTCTCGTAACTTTACAATGTTCCTGTCTACGGTCTAATGCTAGCCGCACACTATACGACCTGAGCGGGATCGGGAGGCTTACGTCTGGATCGGGAGGCCTTGCATCTGGCTACCGACTGGTTGGACGCGATCGGGAGGTCATTTTGGGCCGATTCGAAGTTTGAATCGGGAGCGGAGCGGGTCGTATAGTGTGCGAGGGTATATGACACGACTCGGATAGTGTGCGTGGCCATCTGACCCGCCGCCGAGCGCTGAAGAAAATTGACCAATCACAGAGCAGCGCCATGGGAACCGCATTCGGTCAAAATGGCGGGGAAACACTCCTTACCCTTAGTACACGCTAAATCCGCTTGGAACGCCACGAGAGCGCCATGGTTAGCGCCGACTTTGAGTCGTACAGTGTGCGGGGGCCTCCCGATCGATCGGCTGCCGAGCGTATGGTATGCGAGGGCTTACGACTGCGGCCCGAGCAAAATCGTATAGTGTGCGGCTAGCATCAGAGTCAAAATTAATAATAAGACTAATGTTAAGAATAACTTTTTTTCTGGCAATGGACCCCAGGATCACAGGGCTTTGAATTTTGACGCTGTTTTACATGTAGTTTTTGTATTTTGTTCTACATATAGTTTGTAGTGTAAATATATGTATATACATCGTGCATTGTGCATAGTGTTCATGTTTACTGTATATATATATGCAGTTTATGGGACGCATTGTCTCGGATGTCTCCGAAAACTGCCACTGTTGGCATAGTGGATAGTATTGTAGACAAGATACTTTACTTACAGTACGGTATATTATATGCTTCGGTTGAATAGCATACGTGTGTACTAACCTATGCCGATAGTGAGGAGGGCTTGTGAAATACGGGGCATTTTAGGAGTAAAAACAACAAGGGTGTGGTCCATGGTGAGCACATACATGGTAAATGGGAAGTGCTGTTATGCAGGCCCTTTTTCCGATTACCTTTTAAGAACTGGCATAATGCATCTCATAAGCTGTATAATACGGCAGTGATTACATTTTCACTTGGTTCATATAAGTTTTACAAATGAGATGTTAGTTAGTTTTTTTAATGGTTTTAAGGATTTCAGTCCTACCTGCACAGACTTTATTGGCATATAGTGAGTTATATTTAGCCCTACAAGTGTACAAAAATATACTGATGGTAAGTGGGCAAGGCACTCCAATCGTCAACATGAAATCATGATGATGTCGTCGTTTTTATATGATAATTTTGCATTGTAGTGCATTACAAAGCTGTTGCATTGTAGATATGTTTGCAAGTTATGTGAAAAGTGCTGTGTGGGCTACTGATACTGTTTGCTACTTTACGTGACTTGGTCAATGCAAATGTTTATTATGTTAATCCAGAGCCATGATACATTACATCAGATTACATGTGCAGATTGAGATAAACTGGTTAAATAAAATAACAAACTCAATCACGACATCTTTTTTAGCCATTCCCTGAACACCTGCCAAACACATTTAATGCAAAATTAATTATGTTAGGCAATGATCATACAATCATATCACACTCTAACTCATAGCTTAATAAAAATGACAGAATATACTATATAAAAGTTGAAGGACAAGATAAATACACAATACAAATATTAAGATAAATTTATTGTTACAATATATCTCAGGAGTAAACAATTTCAAAGAGAGATTATTTACTCCTGATATATAGATAATATAAAATTAAAATTGATGTTTTATCAAGTTAGACTATATACATCTTGCGGCCGGATCACACACACACACACCTGATCGCCACTATGTAAAATGCTAGACGTTGTAATGTGGCGACTTTGGCACCAGAGCCCTCTGTATTACTGCAAAACTGCCTATGGCAGCTACAGTCACATGGAGAAGGAGTTGGAATACTGTCCTCAGCTCAGACACCATAACACTGCAGACGCACACCCACACAAACGAGTTAACTGCGAAAGCTATCCTCCATCGAGTGGGACTTATTAGAAGGTACATCTGCAGCATAAAAAAGAGCAACCCTCCGATTTTTTAAGTCATACGCACTGTCGTCATTGAAAGTATGTCTAATTATTACAGAAACAGTGAGGTATAGGAAGCATACCGATCTCTCTATTTCACTCCTAGGTAAACTTATCTTGTACGATTTCATTTATCTACCTGCCATTTCGCTAATACTGTATTAGGTTAGAATGGTGTCTCATTCCAGTTTTTATAAGTCACTTTCATGCAGATAAAAAAATATGTACCTGATGCAAAAAGCAGCTCCCAGCGAACATGAAGGTAAGGCCATGAGTGAATGCCCTATGGTAAGACGGCTGAAACATGCAACAAACAGAAGAGAACTAAACAACAGGGGCAGGGAAGGGATTGTTATGATCTTTGTAGATCTGTTATACGAAACCGCTAATGAGCGAATTCATGGCCATTAACATGGTTGCAGTTGAGCCAGTGTTAACGGCAGTCCCTCGGAAGTTTTGGTAATGCAATTTTATCTTTGTATTGTCCAAAGATTTCAGATCTTTTTTAGGAAAGAGAGGGCAATAAGCACTTGTGAAAAATGATTTATGATGAATAAAATTGCAACAACTACCAACACCTTAGCTCATCTGTCAAGCCTACTTACATTTGTATCCCTGTCTGTCAGAGCCATGACTCCCCTCACCCAGTTGAGGAAACCGCAAGCAATCAGAAGAGCCAACGTCACACGATGAAACAAGCTCAGTGCCTTAAAGTGCTGGTAGCTAACTGTGCAAACATTCAACATGAAATGTTATACTACTCCACTCCATAAGAATAATAAATTCTTACAGTCAAGAAAAGTGAAGTAAGTAATACATGAATATCTTTCTCTAAATAACCGAATGATGTTTTGTAAGAATATTGATCATTTTTAGACCAAATTCAGGATAAGCTTAGATAAGCTATCATCAAAAGTCACCTAATATTAATTGATTGACGTTAAATTCTACGAATTAATAACAAAAAACTACAAATTTGCTTACAGGGAGTTTTAATTTGCGACACATTTTGCGTGTATGTGCCGGGCGAACCATTCCTGTATGGTCTGATATCGTCTGCTGTTAATTGAAAAGGGGGACGAAGTTTCAACTCTGTAGACATGTCACTCAAGTTAACCCTAGTTGCTAATGAGCGTGTATTGTTATACCGTTGCTTCACTCTATGAATCGTTGCATCTGCAAATAACAAGATATAAGCATTTGTGATTTAAATAAATAATTGCACATAATATTAAAAACGCACATGACTAAAAACAATTACATCTGGGAATTAACATACAGTCCACTTATCTATCAAAATTTCTCACAATTACCTTTAGTCAATTTATTACTAATAACCACTAGCATACTAATGTAAGTATTTCCACAATGTCACTAGGATGCAACTTGACAGTGTTTTTTGACACTTTCACTGTCATTTGCAATAACGTACCAAAGTCAATAAGCGTATAGGGACGACTGATTCTCTGGATTTTATCCGGTGGGTACGTGACAATAAACTCTTTCTGAATTTCATCTAGGAAGCAGAATGCAAGCACAGGTGGGTACTCCTTGTTCGTGATTGCAAGAAAACACAAGCTCATTGTTGAAATCGTACTGCAAAGAAAGGGGATATATAAAAAAATAAGTGAATATTTAAAAGTGCACATTACAGCAAATATCAATCACCATGCATACTTGTACAAATGCCACAGGCAGTGTACTGCGACAATGCCAAGCTATGTATTTACAAGTACTACTTGTTAGTTTATACTTTATACCACAAATCATGCTCTGCATTTGCGTTCATACTGTAGCATATATAGACCAAGAGCAGGTGCGCTGTGTATAGTATTTCAATCTATACAGTGTGTTGTTGCCATGGTGATTCTGCGAATCACAATTACATTCCAATATCTTTGTAAAATAGAAGTTACTAAACTATACCAACAGGATGGCACACAGCGATTAAGACATTTTGCTACTGAACCAAATCAATAATACGAAAAATAATAGTGAACATTGCATTGCACCAAACGGAGATGGGATCGAACTAAAGAACACTGGAAAGATATTTGTAGATGCCTAACCACGCACGTCAGGCTTCTCTCCAGGCCTTTAATGAATGTTGGGTCCAACATGGCTTCAAACCTGAAACTGATCTGCATCATCCAACAAATCCTCCAATATACCTTAATTTCCTAATAGACATGCCCTAATTGAGTCCAATTAGCAAACAGGGGATGAACTGCCAGATTTCCTGGCCTGTCTTCTAAAATTCCTGGGGAAAACATGACACATGAATGCAATAAAACACAATCACAAAAGCTCTAGAATCTAGATACTTACTGCACCAGGTGACAATCGGTTTCTAGTGTCATTCTGTCTGGATACAAGTTAATTTTTCTGAGAAGAAGCTTTCCACATCTCTGGCTGTCAATGAGCTCAGGCCTGTCATCGCTGTCTGTAGATGCAGATAGAGGCAGGCTGTCTTCCATTCGTGCTATGCACGCATACACTATCATGCCGACTGTCGAGGGACTCTTGCTCCTAGCTGAAAAAAAGCTACAGACAATAAGCAAAGGCAATAACCACAATATTATTTCGATCCAAAAAAACACATAAAATAAAATTGGAGGGTATAGTGTGTTCCATCATTCACACAACCTAGCTAATAAACTACGCCACTTGTCGACTTCTGACGAACTCAATTTCCTGCAGAGGTGCAGGGCTTTTAGGTTAGAGTAAAATAGTGAGGTAAAAATGCAATTACGTACTTGGTATTTTTACTGCAATAACTTCACACCTACGCATCAATTAGTTTTCTGCCATTATGACACCTGAAGGCTGAAGTGATTTTGGGGAGAAGATACGGTGTTGGGACACGAAACATCGATACGCAACATCGCTCTTCAATTTGTGCATAGGTGTAACAAGGTGCTAAGTTGACAGATTTTAACCCAATACTTTACTCTACACTGCCACTTCTGCAGGAAATACGGTGTAGTCTGTGTAGCACTGTAGCAGCACGAAGGGAATGTGGAGGTGTCATAGCTTATTATAGTTGTATCAGGGTTCATAGATTAGTAGTAAGACACAAGTTGAAATAAGGACTTATAAGACCCTTTCTGGAGGCCAAAATAAAACTTTATTATTAGATATATATTAGATATATAAATTATTAGATATTATTTATTAGATTTAATTATTTCGTATTATATATACAACACAATTCTTACTCTAAGTCGAGAACAGTTTATAAAACAATGTTGAAAAATGGTCTTTTGGCAAAAAATAAGGACTGTTAAGTACTTTTCTAAGATTTCACCAAAAATAAGTACTAATAAGGGCCCTTATTTTATTTTTAGCAAAATAAGTACTTATAAGACTTTGGAAGACCCGCTACGAACCCTGTGTATGCGTAAAACACTACACAAACTAGTTGTTGCCGGTGGGTTTGTTGACTTTATTGTAGATAACCGGAGATCCGCGACGAATCGTCTCTTGTAAAAGTCAAGAGTGGGAGCCAAGATACATGGTCATGATGGTGTAAGCCACCGGCCTAAGTAATGACTTGAAGTTGAATGAATGACAATAATGATCTAGTAGTAGTAGGGGTTCAAGGATAGAGATGATGTCCAGATTGAGACCTATGTCATTTTCATCAATGTGGGTGTAGCCCCTTTAAAATCGACAGGGGTGTTCTTGAAGGTGTTGTTTGTTCATTTCGACCGAGTAACATTATGTGAGTTCACAGGAAGTGTGGAAAAAACTGCGTTTAAGCGACACTACTCGCTCGTTTCCCACCGTTTCTCACCATTGCTACGAGCAAGAATTTCCCGTGATGTTCCTGTGCTATGGGTACAGGAATACCGCGTACCCTCAAATGTATCTGCATATTTGGTATTTGCGCGCGCCATTTACGCACTGATACTACTTGCTCTCCGCAGTAAATTACCTGGAAATCCTACAGTAACCTACGGCTACACTCACACTGTAGTATAGTTTTGCTCTCCTCAGATCTTGTCATGATCTAGACAAACTACCAATTTCTTTTGCGAAAAATCATTGTTTTTTAACTTTTTTTTATTTATTTATTTAGGCAATTATCCATCATATACAATACATAGCATACTTTTACAATAAAATTCTTAATTAATAAAATTGGATAACTACCAAGGATATATACACAAAAAGCATGACTATTGACTAGCACACTTATTTACGCTGAGAGGGTCTATGTCCCCT